GATTTCATAACAAATGAAATTGATTCATCTTCACAATTAACTTCTAATGTTAATACCACTATCGAAAATGGTTCTGAACAGACACCGATATTAGATAGTTCTTCCAAGGAGACAATTCATAATGAAGAACAAGAAAATCAAACACAACTAACTGCATTAAATGGAACGTTAAGTTCAAGTCGATTAAGTTTAAATAAATTCAAAGATCAATTAACACAACATGCACGCAGTGTTATGACTATGCCATCATCATTTACATCAATTTTATCAAATACATCATCTACTCCGAATGATAATAATAATCATAATAATGATAATATACGACAAGTTTATTGGGCTGAAATTTGTATTGAAAGAGCAACAGATTTGTCTATTAAAGATATGAATGGTACAAGTGATCCATATGTTAAAGTTTTATATGGTAATAAAGAAAAATATATAACAAATACGGCATCAAAAAATTTAAATCCTGTATGGAATGAAAAATTTATATTTTTTGTACATGATTTACATATACCACTTTATTTTAATATATTTGATCATGATCGTATTGGACGTGATGATCCAATGGGTACAGCGAATATTGATTTATATAAAATACCATTACATAAATTATATGCTGCAATACTTCAATTACAAAATGAACAAAGAAATGATGGAAAAAATGGTACTATTAAAATTAGTATTAAATTGATACCAAAATCAATTGAATTTCGTGATGAAGTAAAAATATATAAATTTTAATGAAAATTTCTTTTTATATTTAAATTAAGGTTCTTCGTACATTAGCAAAACAATCAGAAATGAGATCAATAATTGGTGGTCGCTTAGGATCAGTTAATGAAGTTATATTACCTCGACGTACCATTGATGTTTTTATAATTCAAGGACAAAATTTAAAGTTAGGTGGTGTCAATCAACCTTGTAGTCCTTATATTAAACTTAAATTTGCAAACAATAAAAAATATCGAACACAAGTAAGATACAAAACAAATGTCTAAGTAAACTGAAAATATAATCACAAAGAAAAAATGATTTGAACTATTGCCCATTTCAAAATAAAAGGCGCGTGGGTAGTTTTTGAATAACTTTTGATAGAAGCAAGATAGAGACCTGTGGTTTTCACCACTGGAAAGAAGAGATAGAGACGCATCGAACCGTATATTATATGATANTTAAAGTGACGTTTTTGAAGACGAACATATTTCGTAAGGTGACTAAATTGGTTTTTCAATAATTTCGTGTGCATTTGAACCGTTAATAGAAGATCTACAAAGTATACGCAAAGCCGACACTTTTACATCTATCAATTCAGAAATTATAAGTATCTTAGTGGAAATTCTTCGCCGATTTTTCTAGTACTTTCTTCGGGAAAAATCACTTCTTTACGTTTTTCTCGAAAAATATGGACTCAATTTTTCGATATATTCTTAGAAAACTGACTAACAACACGTTGGAAAGCCTCT